CCTACCTGATTCCTGTGAGGGATGCATATTTATTATAGGAATGTGATCTGAACACCAAAGAACCTAATCCTGTTGATTTTGGACCGTAAGTATACACAGTAAAAATCTCGCATCTTGTCCACAAGACGTGCTCCGCGCAACAGGCTTGTAACAACTGCTTGTCCACAAGACGTGCTCCGCGCAACAGGCTTGTAACAACTGCTTGTCCACAAGACGTGCTCCGCGCAACAGGCTTGTAACAACTGCTTGTCCACAAGACGTGCTCCGCGCAACAGGCTTGTAACAACTGCTTGTCCACAAGACGTGCTCCGCGCAACAGGTTTGTAACAACTGCTTGTCCACAACTTGTAACAATGTTGTCATTTTATCAAGTTGTGGAAAAATCTCACGACTTGTCCAGTTGGATTTGTCCGAAACTTCTCTGAAGTAAACGCTCTTTACAGTAAATATATTAGCGCTCCGCGATTCATCGTCTCGAAGGTATGTTATGTTTTGAAATAATTAATTATATATTGATTTCTATAGATATTCTGTTGTCAGAGCAGTGAGAGGTTTAAAAGGTAACATGGAACTAACAGTCCGAAGCGGATGGTTTGGAATTACTGAATTAATTTTGATGCAGTCCCTGCCTCGTACCCAGGCGCTTTAAATGCTAAATAATACATGAAGTATTCAGGTAGGCAGGAGACGCGCGAAGGGACTGTTGGGAAGGAAAAAAACAAGTGCACTCTTCCCATCAGCCCTTTCGCCCATCTCTCCCCACTACAATACTTCATGTAAACTCGTCATATGCGCATCACTGTTTTTTTTACAAAGAGACGCCTGGGTACGAGGCAGATGCAGTCCTAGGACAATTTATAAACTACGCACAAATTAGCATCATACGCGCAACCGCAAATATTCAACGCACGAGCGGTACACGTTACTTAAGGGTGAGTATCGGTGAGCTTTTAGAATACAGACGATACTCTAATCGTTCTTATTTTGTTTTCTTTAAACAGAACAGAACAGAACAGAACAGCTGAACAAATAACTTTTTTTTATTTCGTTCTTATTTTGTTTCTCTTCCAGGAAACGTGGCTATAGGCAAGAATGCAAACGATACGTTCCTCAGTAATTACAGGTCAGGAATTCTTATACATACTGGAGAATGGAAAAACTGGAATCCTTCAATGAATATGCCAAACAGGTATTAGCAACATATTGGGCATTGCCTAGTTCAACTACACACAGGTGTACTGTAGTGAATTACTATATACGTGCCAAGCAAGTAATAAACGCACATCTATCATGGTTCTGCGAGAATTCTATTACTGCACGATTTAAAAGATAGCCCACAGACAGGCTGCTTTCGACATATTACAACTGTGAGGGGGGGCATGTCCCCCAAAAAGTTGCGTCTAAATTGTTTAGGCTAACTTGCAATAATCTAGGTTCTTATATGCGGGGTTTTACTATTCTTATTTTCTTTTTATAGTAATGGTTGCTTACATGTCCATCCAGATTCCATGAAAAAGATCGACGATATTCTTCAGAATAAATTAAATGTGAAAGCCAATGAAAATCCATTTGGTAAACAGCCATACCCTTATCGTTGTCAAGGAATTATGTCGATCCAGCAAATTGATGGCTATTCACAATTTTAAAAATTTTGAAGACAAATTTCAACTAGTGGCAAATTGATTTTTAATCTAACTTAATTATGGCGTATCTGTTCACCAAAATATAAGACTAGTTTTCGACATACACATAATCGTTTTTAACATGGAAGCTGACATTCTCGCGATAAAGACTTGTGTCGCAATTGTAAACTTGCATCCCCCCAAAATTCCCAAATTCAAGTTATATGTTGAAAATTTGAGTCGTGATTTTCAATTTCGTAATCTATATGCCTGTATGTATAATTATTTTAGGTTTCTTTGTAAAACGCATTTGATGATATGCATATTTGCGCAGTATAGAAATTCAATTAATACTATTATCAAAATTTATAAATGCAATGTTTACAGTTACAACTAAAAATTCCGCAAAATTTTTGGCAACTTTATTTTGGTATGGGTATAGTTAGTCTGTCAGTCCACACACAACAGTATAGTTGACTGGAACACAGACTAGGGTATAGTTAAGTTTGGGGTCTTTTGGTATCTACTATCTACATTTACACAATTTGCGCAGCGATTTCTGGTACGATTTACGTGTGATTCTAGTGTGAGATCTGAGGGTCTCTTAATCTGTTTAAGTTATAGCTAAAATTTGGGGAACCCAAAAGATAATGATAAATAGAAATTTTTGTTTCGCCACAACCCTGCACGCCAGGGATTTGGGGGAAAAATTTAATAATGAGTCGGCAAAATTTCACTTCAACCCCGCCATTAAAATAGGGCAAGCGCGTCCCCAACCTCGCAAGGCAAGATCTTTACTTCCGGCCTCCCCTGAATGTGAACTGGAGTGTCGAAAACCAATATATGACATAACATGAAGTATTGACTATTTGATCAACAAAAGTACAAAAACGCACATGTGCTGATGAGGTCCTCTGGTCTCTGGTTTATGAATTGTGTAAATATATTTGTTAAGAATGTAGCAGTGATATTTCGACTAGCATTTTCATTCCAAGATATTTGTATAAAACAAGCTGGTTTTTATATAATAAAGTTGAAACGTTCTTCCTTGCAAGATGGCGGCAGATGACGATGATGAGAGTGGATACAGATGGTTAAATCAGTATGAAAAAAGTTGGTGAGTTTACTAACATGACTACCATAAGGTCATAGTTATGTGAAGCTAGTCCAGATTGTACAGTATGACAGCTTTAGACAAGATCTCAGATGTTCTACAAGACAAAACTTAAAGTTGTTATGCATGAGTCACTTCCATGAGTAACCATCCCCCCGGAAATTGTATAGCTGCACATTTATAGCATTTCTTTTCATTTTTTGTCCCGGCCGCGGGGAGATACCAGGAAGGTATCCAGGTAGCTGCCAAAATATGTCCAGCCCTGGTGCGCTAATCTGTGTGCCCTGCAGCCAATGTCTGGCAGTGTGGTGGTTACTCATGAAATTGACTCGTGCATTATTTGTCCAGTTACAGGAACCAAGAGCTTTGACTATTTTGCATGAATTAACTAGGTTCATTTAAATGGCTAGCAGTTGTTTCACACAATAAATTATCATAATATGTGCATTTTTGTGTATGTAATGAATTGTCTAGTTGTTGACTCTCCTGTTGTTATTTTAATTTGTAACAGTATGGAAACTTGTTTGGATGGGACAGGGTATAACACTTTTGGTAACCAGTATCCAGAATTGGGATACTGGACTCTCATGGGGGATACTTTTCAATCGTGGTTTCCCACTTGGATATTGACAAAAAATCTAAATTTCAGACCCTGGGTGGTGCTATACCTCTCTAGGGGGTGGGGGTTGGGGTGCTAGACATTGCTAGGTGTGGTGCACGCCCCTCTGTATCCCTGTAGATCAGTACCTGTTTTAACCAAAGAGTGTACATAGAAAATATTTCAAAAATCAAACATTGAAATGAAAAACCTATAAAAGAAGTTATTCTATGAGAGAAAGTTCATTATTCTGACTACAAAAGTTCATTGCTGACATCTGATATGAATTTGTGTGATTAATTCAACTGTATTTTTCAATCCAGGGAGGCCATTCAGGAAGATGCACAAGGAGGGTTGCAATTTGTTGACGATGATTTCATACAACGTGCCAGAAGACGCAGGTACACATTGGAATGTGCAGTATCTCAATTGGACTCTACATTCGATGTTAACAGAATGCGCACTTGGAATACCTACTGCTCTAAATGTTGTTTGTTCAACTTAAACTGTTGCTCATAATCTAAACTATTAATTTTTATATAGTTGTGTTGACTGCCAACTCTTGCACACTCTCATCCTCGTTTGATCCCGGCTTTAAGAAGAAGAAGAATTAGGATTATATTTAAATTCAGAGGAAATTTAATTCATCCTTTTTTAAACTTTTGTTCTCTAGACTTCTGGCACAACCTGGAAACATTCGTCTTGGCATGGTTTGTACTTTTTGTTGTTATATTTAAACATTTTAAGACTCTGGAAAAAATAGTGAAATCCATATGGAAATTGCAGTTTGGATTTCCATACTATTTCCGAGTAAGATCCATGCTATTTTCATAGTAAGGATTTTGAGCTCTGGATTACAGTAACACCATTTCATTGTAGATGCGTCACTTGTATATCATCCTTGATCTGTCAAAGGCGATGGAGGAAGCAGATCTTAAACCATCCAGGTTGTTTTGCACATTAAAGGTAGAATTATGTTTATATTTTTTAAAGACTTTTACTGAGTAGTTAGATGTGGATAAGTTTTGTCTGTCATCGTCTTGTTGTTTTTAGATTGAAGCTATTTTACGATTATATATTTTGTTCATTTTATTAGCTCCTGGAAAATTTTATTGTGGAATATTTTGACCAAAACCCGATTTCTCAGGTAACGTACATTCAGATGTATTTACCTTCAGTTGATAGTATTTCCTTTTGTTTTGATATACAGTATAGTAACAACATTATATCTTGTTTCTAGCTTGGAATCATTTCAACAAATAACAAGAGGGCTGAAAAATTAAGTGAGCTAAGCGGTAAGCAAAGTGGAATGGCCTCTTGAGAAAGGATTTTATAATTATACCTAAACAAAACAGCCGATTAAATTATACCTTGGGGTATAATTTATGTAGTGAGGCCAGTTATAATGTGTAGCTCAATGACATGGGCATTGTGAAAGGTAGGCAAACAGCAGCTGGATAGAACTGCTGTCAACGCTTGGAATATCTTTGACAGAATTAGGAAGGAACAGTGACATAATAACAGAGGTGGCTTGTTGCCATGTCGAAGGAGACAAGAGAAAAAGAGTGTGATGGCTTGGGTAAATTGTGAGAAGGGAGTGGGAGTCACAGTAGCATGGATACCAATCATACCATGCAGGAGGGTGATGCGTTGCTGGGAGACAATGGATAAGATGAAGAGACGTGGTGAAAGGAGGGTACTAAACTTAACACTTCTGCCGTCGTCAGAGCAAGCGCCTTTCACCTCTGAGATTGTGGGTTTGAGTCTCGCTATGGACTCATGTGTGGACTTGTGTGAAAAGAGTTTGTCAACACTCCGCCGAAAGTCCTGGGTTTTCTCCGGGCATGGAGACATCCACTGAAAGACGATGAGCAGTTGGGAGAGAAAGGATGAGATGGAGGAATTGTTTATGTTGGTGTTAACGGCCGAAGTTTTATAAATAAACAAATAGATTATTTTATTGCTGTTATCGCGCCAACTCTATCACAGTCTACTATATTATAATGACCTATTGTTGACTTTGTGAATGGAGTTGGTTCTCAACTTATAAAATTATTTCATTGTCACAAGACAGATTATCATTTCTTAATGATTAAATGCCAAAACACGTCAAATGTATTTTCTATGTTTCGTATCCAGGCAACCCACGAATTCATGCATCTGCTCTGACACAAAAAGAAAAACCAAATGTTTGCCAAGGTGAACCATCCTTACAGAACGCTTTGGAGACAGCAAAGAAATCTTTAAGGCAGGTCTACGTTTAAACGAAGGAAACTTAAATTAACCTGCTGCTTTAAATTCAATCAAGATTTGGTCTGGAAAACTGGGCTGTGTGTCACACAAAAGGAATATCTACAAATATAACTTCAAATTTACAAGCTATGTAACATAATTACCAAATTTCAAAATTGAGGTAGTTATTAAGAAGTCTTCGAAAAGAATAAATAGATTGACACTCCTCTACTGCTCGTAACGTATCAGATTAGTTTATTCTAGGAAGCTGCTCGACGGTAAGAGAAAGTCTTTTTTAAAAAGTCTGTTTTGGGCTTAGATTATTGCTTCGTAATTGATAATTGTGTGAGATGCCCAAAGAATCCTGATATTACATTTAATGCGTATTTCCTCTTGACTGACAGCGGCAAAAATAAATGCAGCCAATCACGAATTCCCTGTCTTCTGGTGGATGGTATGTTCGCGGGTTATGTAGTGGCATGACACTACATAACCCGCGAACAGGCATACTCTGGGAACGAGATTGGTCTTTCGTCTTCTTCGCCTCGCCCGGCTTTTTAGGTGTTGCGCGCAGGCTAACTTTTCACGTTTTTCTTTTTTGACCTAAAGGCATCTTCCTGGTCATGCAAGTCGTGAAATCTTGATTGTATTTGGCAGTCTAACCACATGTGATCCCAGTGACATCATGGAAACGTTTGAGGTATTTGTTTGAATAAACGCCTCGGTGCTTAATATACCTTATGCATAATGACGTCACAAGGCTTGATGCCCGCGAGGAATGCTAGTCTTGGTAGTCATCGCCCGGGAAAATTTCGATAGTGGCCATTTTGAATTGTTTAATTTTCCCGGGCGATGACTACTGAGACCAGCATTCCTCGCGGGCATCAAGCCTTGTGACGTCATTATGCATAAGGTCTATTCTGGATTTTGTCCGATAAAAGTTGCTGACAAAGTGTCCGTCAGCTGAAAATATTTATTTCAAGGCTTGTATGAAGGTCTCGGTATAAAGTGTTGTCAATGTCGCTGTCGGCTCGACTGCACTTATAACATTGATAATCCTGGATATCACGGAAACCTCTGCATCGAATAACTGTTCAGTAATTTTCTATCTTCTGTAGTCACTTAAAGAGTGTAAAATACGATGTTCAGTTATCGGTCTCTCAGCTGAAGTCAAAGTTTGCAAAACGCTGGCAACCACTACCCAAGGTATATTACCTTACACGTTATTGAATGCCAGCATAATATGAAGAATTAAGTTTGTAATCCATGCAATCAAAAGAATGAATTGAAAAGGCTGCTCTATCCCAGGGCCGGCAGAAAGTTGCCCGAGGACATATACTTACATTTTTCGCAGTTGTTTCTGGTTAGGTGTAATAAATGTATATAAAATTTCCACTCCATAATTTCCATCTTCAAAACCCTTCAACTATCTGACAGTTATATTTTTCCTGTATTTTAGGAACTTACGATGTAATTTTAGATGAGAAACATTTCAGAGATATTTTGATGCAACACGTTATACCGCCCGCTGCCAAAGTATGTTAGCCTGGTTTCGAACGTCGCAATTTGCATTTGTCGAATTCATTGCTTTGAATTAGGACGTCTTACGCCTGTATTCTAAAACTTGGACTCAATGTACATCAAATTGTCTGGTACTTTGATAATTCATAAAACACCTTCTACCGTTGCACCCTATGAATTCAAATCGCGCTCTAAGCCTTTTGTGCGTAAGCCATTTTTAAACAACCCGCCTGCACTCGGAAAGTTACTTTTCAAAAAATTTTAATAAATAGGTGGTAAAGATTAGTGCATGCACACCCCAAACTACCCATGCTTTCATAACGTTTTCACAAATTTTGCGAACATTTTTTAACTGTGCAGTTTTTTATACACCCTCAGTCTATACAATTCCATCATGTTGAAATAAATGTTGTGAATGAATTGAATTGGTCCCTTCCCAAATTTGTCGACTGGAAATGGAAATGAAAACTATTTATTTATAATGGTTTCAAGCTGTTTTTCTTGTGCTCTCAAGAACATAAATGGGGGAATGTCTATAGAAGACAGAAGTATTTTTAAAAATTAACTCGCTATAAAATTTTCATCTGATTTTTTCCAGGCTGATGCAGAGGCTGCTCTTATACGAATGGGTAAGTCAGTGTTTTTGAAAGGCCATGTTCAAGGCCATGTTTACACGAGGCAATATTTCCTGCAACACGTAACGCAATATCTGACGCAGAGTAAGCCTTCGACTGGATCAGGTTGAGCTGCGTTCTTCGTAATTCAGCTTCGCTCTCAGCTGCAAGTAAGGATAATTAGCACACCACACTTTCGTTGCGTTACATTTTAACAAAACATTCTTTAATATTCAAGGTTTTCCACAACATCTGATGAGTTCGACACCGTCCTTATGTTTGTGGTAAGTAGAAAACCTTCTTTTCCTTCTGGTCTCAGTTCAAGCCTCACCAGAAACCTCAAGAGACTGTCAGCAACATTGACGTTTATGCTTAGTAGATGTCTATCCAGTTATTCCGGTCGTAGTTTTGAGATCAGTGATCACTTTTCACTACCAGTGAGCTCTCTATATATATATCTGGAGTGAGAACTGAAGTCCAAACAGTGAAGCTTCGTGTTAACCGCGCGGACAAAAACAATAGAAAGGGACTGGAACGGACGTCCAATAGCTCCTTCAATTTCCGCCATCTTGGCAAGGAGTGTGCCAAAATTCCGTATTTTGACATCGATTTAAAGAATAACACTATGCTTTTACGAACTGATGACTTGGTTAGGGAGAAGGTCCGTTAGAAAAAAAAACCTGTTTACGACCTTCAGAGCTGTTGGACGTCATTGGCCGCCATTTTGGCTTCACTTTTCTCATAACTGAAGTTCTTGCTCCAGATATATAGGTAGCTCAGTGTTCACGATACAAAAATTCGTCACTTCACATTTCCCGGGAATAAATGTTAGCAACTCGCGGTGACGAAAATAACCTTCACCACCCTCAGTTTTACCCCTATTACCCCTCAACGTCATTTTTTTCGTTTAGTCATTTAGACAGTGAATGGAACAAGGAAATCAACAGTTCAGGTTATTTTTGCCCACAGGTAAAGTATACTCTTCTCTGCTTTATGTCACTTTATTTATTCCCGGACGAGATTGGTGAACGCGGGTTACCCACATAGGCGCACCTATACCTCAAAAACATCAAGCTTCTTTTTTATGATGAAGACAAAACAAAACAATTTGCAGAAAATGACCATTTCAGAGGTGAAAGGCAGTTCTGAGGATTGCGCGATCGAAGCTCCATTGTCAAAGCTTGTAAAATCATTAATAATATAGATGAAAAAATGCATTCTGTTATTGTTTCAGTGTAACAGCAAGTATTGTGACCTACCTGTCCAATGTAAAGCTTGTGGTAAGTTTGTGTGTCATCTAGCCCACTCAATCATCGAGAAAGCAATGTGTATTTTGTTATATCGTCAGCCTCTTAGCATAATTGTCTAACTCATTTTGGGCCAAAATGCGTTTTTTGCCTCAGAAAGCTTCTTATATTCCGTAAACAACATTTCTCTATGTCACGAGCACGTTGTGGTTTGCATAACTTTTTTTTTCTGTTTTACTCAAAACTTTAAAAAATGAGTTTATGAGTTTAAATGAGCAATTATGCTAGGAGGCTGACGATATGTAATTTAAGCAATACAGTATGTGATATTTGTGTGTTTATTGGTTCTGACGTATTGAACTTTAATAGCGGCGGCTTGAAGGCATCGAAAGAACTCGTGGTTTTTCCGTAATTACAATTTAGTATTCTTGGGTTTCGATTTTTAATAAACGATTTTGCTTTTATTACTTTCAGGTCTAACACTTGTGTCCGCTCCACATCTCGCAAGATCATTTCAACATTTGTTTCCACTGGCGCAGTTCACTGAAATAACCACAGATGAAGAATCTCATCAGAAGTAAGTTTTAACATTTTAAACATTTTCCTTTTGTCGTGAATATAAAGATTTTGCTGCCATCTCACTCGATTGAATAATAGTTGAAGGCTTTTCTACATGGAAATTATCGAGTGGAAATTTATGTACTATTTATTCTACCTAACCAGGAACAGCGGCGAAAAATGCAACTATAATCCCTGGCAGGAATCAGAACTGCGGCCCTTTTGCTTTCGAGCACATAATCTCAAAGTGTATATTTTCTTCTGATGCGGCATTTTTCGTATTTTCACTTTCCTATTTAGAAACTGCTTTGGCTGTGAATCACTCCTTAGCAAAAATTTGGTAAGTGTTCTTTGCTTTTGACGTATTGTACTTTGATATCGTTTTCTTGTGCAAGCCTCATGTCTTGTAACAAGCCACCGCGTGTTGTTGATCCCTTAGCGTATAAAAACGTTCGCACGTATTTGCCGGTCCATCTTCATTGCTGTGATCTGTTATCTTATTTGTAATCTTTAATCATCATTGATCATCATCATCAATCAATCATCATTGTTCAATTAAACATTAATCATAATTGATCGTCATTGATCATCATCAATAATCATCATTGATCAATTAATCATCATCAATCATCATTTATCATCATTGATCATCATCATCGATCAATCATCACTGATCAATTAAACATCAATCATAATTGATCGTCATTGTCATCGTCAACAATCATCATTGATCAATAAATCATCATTTATCATCATTGATCATCATCAATCATCATTGATCAATTAATCATCAGTCATCATTAATCATCAAATCATCATCAAAAGTCATCCCAGACCTGTTGGATCAACTGTTGTGAGTCTGATCAACCTTGTTACGAGACTCTAACAATTTATTCCAGCCAACAACTGCGCACAAGCAGTGCATCTTATTGATAAGCGGTGAGATTTCTATGCATGTAGAATGAAGGGTCACCTTTAGTATCGATCATTCTCACGTATGCCGTGTCCGTCTCTTGTTTTACAGATCTACGAATGTCCAGAGTGTTCCAAAAGATTTTGTTTCGAGTGTGATCTTTTTATTCACGAAACGTTACATGTGTGTCCCGGATGTTCGTCCACCACATCAAACGCTGTTATTATTAAAACTTGATGGTTTAATTTTTCTACTTCGTGAGAATTTATATTTATAGTCAGATAGAGGATCAAAAATGAATGAAAACTCGCCATATCGAGGGGCAATTCCATTTGCCTTTATTTAAGGGTAGTGAGTACATTTCTGTGTGCGTTTAAATTCCTCGGCGGGCTCCTGCCAACACGCTTTTCTTACGTGACCTTACGTAAAATTTTTAGAGGTAAAGAGTTACCTTGATTTTTTCAAGTGCTTTTTGAGTTACGAGCTTTTGAAAACGTGTTTTCAGACTAGTGCCCTGAATTTTTGTGAATTTGTGGCTTATTTTTACAAGGTAACCATTTAAATGTCTTCTATGTAGTTTTTTGTAAGCTTCCTAATGCTGTAAGTTAGTTTTTCTGAGATTTCACTTTTATAACAGTATAAGGGTTAATAGGAAAATCGAAGAAAAACGTGTTGGCAGAATGGCAGCGGCCCCATACAGAAATGAGAGAAATGTACTTACTACTTACTAGCTTCACGCCTGTATTCTAAAAGCACGCTCACATGCACTAGTTGTATTTCAAACTTAACCCTGATCCTTACTTTAATCCTCACCCTAATCTTAATCTTAATTCTTTCTCTAATCCAAACCCTACTCCTAACCCTGAAAGTCTAAAAATAGTAACTGTTCCTCAACAAAATCTTGATATTTTCTTATACAAAGTACGAGAGTTAATATACATATACTGCGGGCTCAGATCGAGATTCAAATAAATTTCGGCGCCAACGCCATATTGTTTTCATGTTTTGGCGATATATAAACATTGAAAGATATACACAAAGATGCCTTGAATTTTGCTTTTTGTCACTGGAAAATATCATCTGCAATCAAGGAAAGTTACTGAAATGGATTCTAGCGAGTGGGAATTAAGTAAAGAGAATGTACAACCGATAAAACAAGGTCGAAAGATTCCTAATCTAACGGCAGCGTTGACGCCATGTGGTGTAAATACTGGAGATGATTCCTTGTACTGGAAGCTTCAGAAGGACAAACAGTAAGTGCTTTTCTCCAGGTTTGCTTTGCCGTACTTGTGTTGTTACAGAATACTTAGATTAAAATTTAGTCCAACATGCAAGTTATCCATTGAAACTGAACGGTCTCCATGACGTGAAACGTTTATATTTCGAGCCTGCATTGTTATAAATTGCAATTGTAACCTATACAGAAGACTCAAAAGTCTGCAACAACTATTTTCAAGAAGGTATGCTCTTGGGAGATAGATTTTTGTAATATCCAGTCTGGATGCAAGTCCTTCACAGAAATCACAGTTTGGTATCCAAAACCAAATTTTGGTAGTATCCTTTGATGGGCAAGACCTATAGTCTCTTGTGTTGCTTTGTATTTTTTGTAACCTTTGCACTTTTCTAGAAATTTTGAAGCTGAAATTAGAACATACGAAGGTGAAGATTTTCTCGATATCTGGTACAGGTTGGTGTACAGTATTGTTGCTTTACTTTTTAATAGGAACTGTTCATTGATCATTGTGCATATTTTTGTGTAGTATCTCCCCACCCCCCTCGGAAATTAAAAAAAAAAAACTCAACGGGGGTGTGGATATTAAATGGAATGGCCCTCTCCCGTTGATGATCAGTAATATATCATCTGGCCTTTTAGTTTTACTCATCAGTATTTCTAAGTTTCAGAATAAATTTGGTTGTTTGAACGTTATTTCAGGCCTTGCCTGATAAACCCTTTGAAATGCCATTTCTCAATTATTAGATACATTCTGTGGACAGAAGAGAATGTGCCTAAAGGAGGACGTGAAATAGGTACCTTGTTAGAACGCTGTATCAAAGAGTTTCAAGATGTGACCAAATATGAAAATGATGAACGGCATTTGAATGTTTGGCTCAAATATGTAAGTGACTGAGCAATATATTTGTATCAGCAGTGATATGGACTTCAATACCAACAGAAATAAGGAAATCATACAAATAAAGAAATTGTAATAGTAATTTATTATGTCAATTTTATTGTAAATATTTAAAATGCACATGGTGCAAGCTTGAAAATTCATGCCTGACACTTTGTCACACACTAAAATTGCAGTATGAATTAGCTACTTGTAGCTGTCGAAACTGTAGGCCTTACTTTCAAATGCAATTTTTGTCTTCTGGATTGTCTATGCTCGGATGTACTGAATTTCTGGCTGGTCTAATTATTCCGCTTAAAGCAAAGCCTAGTAAAGTGTACCCCTATTTTCCCATGCAGTATAGCATTGCTAAAAGCATTACTAACTGTAATCAGTAATTAAAAACTCCTTCATCTAAAAGAGCTTGCACTGCTCTATTAAAGCATGGCCTTAACTATTAAGCCTTTTCAAATGCCAGAACTCCTTTTACAAATGCCAGAACTCCCTTTACAAATGCCAGAACTCCCTTTTCAAATGGCAGAACTTGCATGGTTATTAACTTGACAACTTTATTTAAAATGAAGATTGTTTTGTTCTTTTACCGAAAGTGAGTGGTCAAAATGACCGGCAAGGTAAGAATTTGACCACACAACTCTGCATTCTGACCGGACATTGTTATTTCGCGCTCTGCTATAGGTGGATGATTTTTGTACTTGTAGACCGACTGCTGTGCGGATCCTCTTGAAATATTCAACTATTTGCACATGAAGGGCACCTGTTCTGGTCTTGCTTTGCTCTACATTGCATGGGCGTCCGCTTGTGAAAATGTTGGAAATTTTCAAAAAGCCGATCAAGTGTTGGTGTTAGGAATTGAGAAAAATGCTCAGCCTCTGGAAATGCTGCAGAAACACCATATGTAAGTGTATTGTTTTTGGACTTACATTTAATGATATATCTATTCATGAGATTGGCCTTGTAAGAACAAGAGTCACTGTATGTGAGAATACTTACAATTTACAGATATGTTGAATAAATATAATTTAGTAATTTTATAAAATATAAATCTTCAATTCTGTAGATATACTGTGATTGTATAAGTCAAAATGGAAATTTTTTACATTTGATTTGGCTTTTGTAATTTTTATTTTCATATATTCAAGAATTTGCTTAATTTAATGAAAGTAACTAAAAAATAATTAATATTGGGCTTAGTGTGGTTTTGCCTTGAATTCCAAAACTTAAGTTAGTCTTATAAGTGTTATATTATAAGATTCTCTGCTTAAAGCGCAAATGATCAAAATATATTCGCTTTCTAATTCGACATCAACCTGAGCATTTACCTGTAGCTTACAGTAAATTATATAAAACTGAAAGGTGATTTTCTAGTTGACTCTAAACATTTTCATATTTTAGAGGGTTTCAGCACAGATTAACTGCGCACATAGCTGCTTCAGAAGAAATCCAATCTGGGTGTGGACTGGGAAATCAACGCAAAACATTGGGGTCCCTCATGGCAACTGGCAATAAGGCGATGGTCGGAGTACTGAGAACTACGTCCTTTCAGAATCGTAAGAATTTATTATAGATTTGCTTTCAGGGATAATTACAAATGTGTTCGATACAATTAAGTACAGAGCCTGAAGAAGCGAGACGCTACAGATGCATTCGATTAAAATTAATTCAGTGTTTGGCCTGGATCAAAATTAATTCTTTAAGTAGTGATTTATTTGTACGAGATGTCATTTCAAATCCTCCAATTTAGACTTGAAATTCAGTCCAGTCCTCAGACAATTGTGCGGACTTACAGTCGGATTTGAAATATTACAAATATCCAGTCCTCATAGTCGTATTTGAAATATTTACTTAAATGCTGTTATTTAGCAGCACAGTCGAGGTTTGCTGTTGGAAACCCGGAGAAGAAAGGATTAGGTTTCTCCATACTTCACGATTCGGATGACAGCTGTGGAAATAGAATCTCACAGCTCCCTGAAGGTCGTGGCAACGAGTGGAAGGAGGCTCCGACAGAAAGCATTACGAGCAAGGAAAATATAAACATGCCTGGCAAGTGGACAAGAGAAAAAGTAAGATGTAGGGCTTGTTTATATGAAGGCGAGTTACCCAGCTAGGCGAGTTCATGCCCCGTAGAGACGAGCACGCTTTTCCTTGACACCCTGGGGCCGGTTGTATAAAACTTTTAATAATTTTTTAAATCACTATTTTGTAGTTTTAAATTAAGTTAACTCGTTGTATAAAAAAATAGTTAGCGTATTAAAACTGTAGTTAAAACGTAGTTAAAGTTAACGATGCTTTAGGGTATCGTTAACTTCTCAAAACGTAGTTAAAAATGGCGCTTGTATAGGAGGGAACAACATTTTTCAGTAAAACAACAATGAAAAGCAACGCTTACCTGGGATTTTCAATCGCTATCTTCCCTGTGAATGTTTTCTGACAACATAAACTCTTCAAACGCTACGCTTTGCCTTTGGTTTTTCGGCGAAAACAATGATATATTTTTGCACGGGAAGATTTCTCGAAGACGACTTAGGACCCATTACAGTGTTACACGAAGAAACATGATATATAATTACCAAACAGTTGCACTTTGGTTTAACGTAGACATCTCAAATAAAAATTGCCTTCTTCGTTCATTTTGTCCATGTTTTCTAGTTTAAAAAAATAAAATTCCCGCCAATTTGCAAAATGCGAGTCCACAATCATGTTAAAAATGCTTGTCGGCGGTCGTTAATCGCTGCTTACTTTATGTAATTTTATGTTTAACACGCCCACGCACAGTTCCAGTCTTCCAGACAACCGGACTCGATTCGAGAACGCGACGCGATTTTTTAGTTTTTGAAAGTTAATAAAACAGCCAATGAGAGCAAATTTTAAAAGATATGTAGACCAAATAACTCAAAATGTTATACCGTTTCTAAATATTTGGAAAATTTAAACTAGGATCAAAGTTATCGGTCAGTGAAAATCGAAAAATCACGTCGCGTTGTCGAATCGCATCCGGTGTGTCTGGACCTTTAATCATCCGACAAACTACGTTTTGTGCAACGCAATTAAGTCGTGTAGTTATCTAATCATAGTTAAGGATTTAACTACAGTGATTTTTGTATTCGTAGTAGATGTCTTTAAGGGACATTGTGTGTTCGATGTTTACAGGGCTCGACGGCTCGTGTTGCTCCTTGAACTCCTTGAAAAGCTCTACGAAATCAATTACATGCAAGGGCACTTGAAATTTGAAAAACTCTTGAAAAAAAATGTCAAAACTACTTGAAATTAAAGTGCTTTTGTCCGAAACTCATTAATAATATAGGCCTTTTGACGCTTTTTACAAATTTTTATTAGGCAAACGCCGATAATAATTCAAACATTGCTGAAAACTCGATTTTTTTAATATATATTTATTAAAGCTTTTTAGACAAAACAAGTACTTCTTGATTTCACATCTATAAATTCACCTTTTTTTTTGTTCGGTTGAATTTCTTCAAAAAAATATTCTGTTCATGTTTTCGCTCTTTCGTACTGATTTAGAAAAAAATATTGGTTAACTATTTCAAATATTAAAAAATTATTTGCTAACCTGTAAACAATAGACAATTCCCAGTATAGACTAATTTTAAAACTAAGCAAGGAGATGTAAATAAATCACCACAGCTAGAAAGAACATACTAAATTGAGTAAAATTGCAAAGTTTGGTTACGAAATGTGGTAAAATGCGGAAAATATAGCCTTGCAAAGTTTGCAAATTTTTGCATTGCGTGTGTACTACGAGATTGAGATGATATTTCCAGTGCTATACTCTATTGAGTGATTTAGTTCAAGAAATATTCTCCTGTACGTTCTAGGCTCATTCTGGCAGACCTATAAGCAGTACCGTCTCGCTGGTTCGTCCAACGCCCAAACAAAGTTTTCACGTTCATGTTGACGAGAACGCGGAACAGATTGGTCATGTTCATCAGACTGTGGGCAGCCAAGTTTTATCTGTGAAAAAATCTGATTTGGGGGAGTCCAGTAATCCTCTGAAAGTCATTGCCAATGTAAGTACTGTATAGCAGGAATATCTACAAAAAGTCTATGTACTATTAGTTCTAACAAATCTCGATATTTGGTCATTGTTTTCCTGTTTTTCTTTTTCTTACAGTCAGCCGAAAACACGGGTCCATCCAATGTGAAGATTATGTACGATAAATCGAAAGTTTATACTGGTACAGAAGAATTTCAGTTTGAAGAAATCCGCGCTGCAAAATATATGGCGAGGCTTAAACAGGGATTACCACTGCGTAAAGATGTGAACAGGTTGAAACGGGAACACAACCGAACTGCACAGCCAGAGAAGAAGGAACGCGTCATGTATCCGAAAAACAAAGTATATGCATACGAAGGGGAGTTTCAACTTGAAGAATTAATGGCGAGACGTTATTATGAACGGGTAGGAGATAAGATTTCTGGTCTAGCATGCACAAGTGTTCACGCAGATACTCCCGTACTTGAAAATGTTGGAAATGTTCATTCACTCCACGGTGATGCAAGAAATATTACTGTGCGTAGTGCTAAAAAATCTCTTCCACCTCGTAATGCTGGAGATTCCCGCGTTAAGAATGATGCCGAAAATATCCCTCCATCTGCTCAAGACATCTCCGTACCTAAGAACGTCAGAGGATTCCCCGAACTTGCTAACGTTCAAAATATCTATCTCCAAGACGACGCTGAAATCATTCCCCCGTCTCATTCTAATACCCAAGAAATGGCCATGCCTAAATTTGACCGGGGATTCCGCCAATTTGGTAATGTTCAAAATATACACCACGATGCTGAGAATATCCCCCCACCTAACTGTAGTTCTCGAGGTATGGTCATACCTAATAATGCTGGAGGAAGTATCCCACCACCGACCAATGTTTCAAATTTCCACATTTCTCATGATGATGAGAATATCCCCCCACCTAACTGTAGTTCTCGAGGTATGGTCATACCTAATAATGCTGGAGGAAGTATCCCACCACCGACCAATGTTTCAAATTTCCACATTTCTCATGATGATGAGAATATCCCCCCACCTAACTGTAATTCTCGAGGTATGACCATACCTAATAATGCTGGAGGTAGCCCACCACCGACCAATGTTTCAAATTTCCACATTACCCATGATGATGAGAATATCCCTCCACCTAACCGTAGTTCTCGAGGTATGATCATACCTAATAATGCTGGAGGAAGTATACCACCACCGACCAATATTCCAAATTTCCATATTTCCCATGATGATGAGAATATCTCCCCACCTAACCGTAGTTCTCGAGGTATGACCATACCTAATAGGGCTGGAGGTATCCCCCCACCGGGCAATGCTTCAAATTTCTACATTTCCCATGATGATGAGAATATCCCACCACCACAATGTAATACTCTAGGCGCCCGTATACCAAATCACGAAAGAGACATTTCCCCACATAGCGAGGTTCACAACATTGATGCTGAAAATGTTCCCCCATCTTTCTGTAATACTCGAGGTGTAAATATACCTAAAAGTGCAGGAGGTATCCCCACACTTGGTAATCTTGAAAATATCCACCATGATGCTGAAAATCTCCTTCCACCTCAATTTAATTCTCAAGGTACTGTACCTACTCATGTTGTACCTACTCATGTTAAACCGAGTGGGGCTCAAATTGTCGATGCTGAGAATATACCCCAAGCTAACAGTTACCCTCGAGGTATGACTTTACCTAATGATGTTAAAGGCGTTTCTCAACCTGATCAAGTTAGAAGTATGGTGAATTTCCACGAACCTGATTTGAGAAAAAATGTTTCCACTCCTGATGCGGGACGACAATTAAGGTAAGATGAGGATCACTTTAAAGCTTCATTACAAAGCACGTGACGGTGAATGAAAGACAAGATTTATGAATAAACGTTGATTGTTATTCTAATTAGTTTCCAAACCATCTAGTCTATTAACGATTAGTCTATTTAACAAATAGATAAGATTTTGCCGCTGTCTGTTCAGTTATAGATACACAGTTCATCCGCTTTAGTGGTTAAAAAGTAGTTAAGATTTTAACATATAACTTAGTAATTAGCTTAGTAATTAGCTTTTTACATATAACTTAGTAATTGCCTCATTTTTATGCTTCATAGAAAATCTTTTGTGAGTGAAAGAAGCAATAAATCAGAAAAGAAAAACAATCTTGCCGCCGTGACTCCAAAGTTTGCTCGATACAAGTCAGACCTCGCAGGTAATTCTGAAAATTCGGAGAAAAGTATTTATTCCGTAAATCGTCTATGTAACATTGTTACAGGCTAGGCGTTTTTCCTGTGTAGCATGACACATGTACTGCATGAGATGTCCATCTACTGCATGAGATGTGGCATGTTTTATTTTGTTCGCAAGCCGCGTCTAAAATAAGGGTTGAAAGCTACGCCTATAAATTATAAAATAAGCCACGGCTTATTGCAAATTGACTGTTTCTTCGAGTCGTTTGCGACTTATTTTAGTCGCGGTGTATTCTCCTTTTAGGACCATCACCTACATTGACGACAAAGTTAGCTTATGCTGACGTGATGCCGTGGTTTAACACAACTGTGGGCCTGAGTACTAGTGATGATGATGATGATGAACTCGAGAAGGATTTGAAAAATGATGATAACGATTTTGATGAGATGGTATGGTGTGGTGTTCGCTATGGTAAGTGATGTGTCATACCCGACAGGCAGTTTATTGCGTGATATATATCACCATATTAAATTGTCGCCATATTAGCCCACACCAATCACTTTTACAAATGATGATATTGTCCGATGGTGAATCCTAAGCTAGTACTTTAAAATCACAAACTAAATATGAAACTATCTACCTCACCATAGGTGAAGGATTTGAAGTAGACCCCCAAACGAAAGACGTTGACAGTTACTGCAATGAAAACCAAGAGAATTTGTAAGTAGACAAAGATGATTTTCCAATGCATCACTGCAATTCTTCTAATGTTTAATATGCATGGAGTAATCCGTATTAGAGAGGTGCCTGTATTAGAGAGGTGCCTGTATTAGAGAGGTGCATGACTTAGAGAAATGTCCGTATTAGAGAAGTGTCCTTATTAGAGAAGTGTCCTTATTAGAGAAGTGTCCTTATTAGAGAAGAGTCCTTATTAGAGAAGTGTCCGTATTAGAGAGATGTCCATATTAGAGAGATGTCCTATCAGAGAGTTATTCGTATTAGAGAGGTGCCTGTATTAGAGAGGTGACTGTATTAGAGAGGTGCATGTATTTAGAAAAATGTCCATATTAGAGATGTGTGTGTATTAGAGAGGTGCCTGTATTTAGAGAAATGTCCGTATTAGAGAGGTGTCCGTATTAGAGAGATGTCCTATCAGAGAGTTATTCGTATTAGAGAGGTGCCTGTATTAGAGAGGTGACTGTATTAGAGAGGTGCATGTATTTAGAGAAATGTCCATATTAGAGATGTGTGTGTATTAGAGAGGTGCCTGTATTTAGAGAAATGTCCGTATTTGAGAGGTGTCCGTATTAAGCCGGTTTTCCATTAGGCGGAATTTTGCGCGCGGAGCGGAATTTTTCTTTGTCTTTTCTAATTAGTTCCACCCGAGAAATCACAATACAAAGTAAAGGTCCGCTCCGCGCGCAAAATACCGCCTAGTGGAAAATCGGCTTTAAAGCCAGTTTTCCATTAGGCGGAATTTTGCGCACGGAGTGGAATTTTTCTTTGTCTTGTGATTTCTCGGGTGGAACTAATTAGAAAAGACAAAGAAAAATTACGCTCCGCGCACAAAATTCCGCCTAGTGGAAAACCGGCTTTAGAGAGGTGTCCGTATTTAGAGAGGTGTGTGTATTGGCGAGATGTCAAAACCAGTTGAAATGCTTAGAACATTTTTTTTTATTTACCGAATAAGTATAACTCATTTTAGAAAAAAATTCTTTATCCTAGGCCGCCATTTGGATACAATCAAACAAAGGTTGACAGGCCTGTGCTCGGGATATTACAACCGTCAGTTGGAATACCGTTTGAGCCCTTACAAGACTTTGAACACAACGACGAGGCAATGGCTGAAGACAAAGAACAATTAGATGAAGTTTCCTCACATCCAAATACTGCACCACTTATGAACCGAGAGGTGAAACTTGCGGATGACGAAATGACACAAAACAATTGGTTAAATCATTCGCAGTTTACGGCTGCGGCTAGATTAATGTCGACACCATTTGAAGAGAATCTGAGTCCTCCAAAGTTGGAAAGCTTGCATTGTAGTAGTATCCAGCCACATGACGAGAAACAAGACGTTCCCGAACACGCTTCGAATGTCTCGACTTCGTCCTACAATGCAAACAATAGCAAAGGTTTGAGTCCAATTCTGGAACGCAGCGATGAAGATGCTAAAAATGGTTCATCAAAAGGATCGTCTCATTTGTCTGGTCTCTCGGTTAAATCTAACGTCTCGGTTAAATCTAACGTCTCGGTTAAATCTAACGTCTCGGTTAAATCTAACGTCCAAACAACGCAGTCAATGATTACTAACCAAACTGAAGCTACGTTTGGACATGATATGCCATCCCATACATCTGAGGTACTGAATTACGAAATGTTAGAAGCTCTGATCTCAAAACTATATTGGATAGATCTGGTAGGGGGGGGGGGTGCTCTGGTGCCGAGTTGTGTCGGTCATGTATGCGACCTCGCCCATCAACTTGCTTGACTACTGCAAAGTCTTGCTTTGACTACTGTATTTGAATTGTATTTGTTTTTGACAGTTCGCTTATCATCATGTTATTACTCAAATTACTGTATCTCATTTTGTCTCTAATATTTTTTGCTTTAACATGAAAAATAGCACCCCCCCCCCCATGCACCCCCTGTGGCCAAGACTAGGGGGTGCACCCCCACAGTAAATCCATCCCTGGAGATAGTGAAATCTGAACGTTTCTATTAATATTATTACAGCTTCAAAACAGGAGTATGGATATAACTGTTCACGACATGAATGGAACTGTGCTGAAGAAAATCAATCCATTTGACCCAGAGTTGTGTAACCAACTGCTATCGCAGCTTCCTCTGCCTATCACATCTTTTCCTGGTTATCACGACTTCAAGGAAGACGTCTTGCCAAAATTTGCTTCCAAAAAAATTGTTCTGTGTGGTAAGTTAACATTTTTATCCTAGGGTGGAAAACAACCGATTACCAGCAGATCACAATATTTAACCTGTTTAAAAATAACCCGACTTGTAATTTATGTAGTAATGGTAACGGGTTTTTGTTACAAAAACCGAGAACAAATTTCATGAAAAGTAGCATTAGTCAAATGGAACGAATGCGTGGAATACATCACCTAAATTAGCATTTCTCACGGCCAATTTTCCCGCCATGTTTTGGGTACTGCCTCCCCCACGTTTGAGAGTCTCCACACCACGAAATACAACTTCTTGTAGTTGTTTGTATAATGGTAAATTTACAGTTACAACTTTCAAAAGTCGCTTTTCACGTTGTTTGAATTGAATTTTGACTACCTAAAGATTTTAATATGCGTTTAAAAGTGTATGTATCGTCAGTGCTCTGTAGTGTGTAAATTTTATAGCCCAAATATGTATTTGTCACTAGCCATGCCAGTCATTTGTCAAGTAAAGCGATTTTCATTGGCTGGCTGCCAAATTATAATCACAAATCGTTCGGTGGTAGGGATGAAAAATACAAGGAGACATTCGACATTTCGATTCGATATTTTCACATGTGAAATCATACACGAAATTTTTGTAAGGGGAACAAGCAAAATCCTATCCTATAGTCCTAATTTACTAATCAAGCTGTGAACCACAGCTACATGTATTATGGTTTAATTTCGGGACATTTATGGAAAAGTCAATTGTTTATTTTTTGTTATTTTCAGGTGATGAAGTTTTTCAAGTCAACGGCATTGCGGGTTCTGGTGCATATGCGAAAGTTTTTTCAGCAAATAAAGTTGATTCAGTTGGAGCAATCGCTCTGAAGGTATGTTATGATTTGCTGGTTGTTGTTGCTGTCGTTGTTGTTGGAGCACTGTCTGTTGTTGAGGAATATGAATGTGGGTGCAATTTCGAAACGGTTGTGTTAAAAATGAATGTTTTACTACCAGGTGCAACGTCCAGCCAATGACTGGGAGTTTTATATCTGTTCGGAGCTCTCCAAGAGAATGAAGAATCGTGGAAAATCTAAATCAGAGGTAAACCCATCCCTTTGTGTAGGAATCGAACCCTATCGTTACTGAGTGATGAAAACACCAACTACTCTGCCTCCACAAATTCATTCTAATCCAGTAGCGGACTCTGATCTATTGTAGGTGTGTCCCCCCGCCCCCTCTGAGTGAGTCATGCTCTGGAAATGACAATAAATTTTTATGACCCAACACTTGAGTTGATTTGTTTTCATTTACCCAAACTTTTACTCACTCAAAATTCTGTTTATCCAACCCTTTCCTCTTCGGGTCCACCCGAAGACCAGTCCCTAAACTTCTCTATATCAAGTCATGTGATATGATCTGCAACTGGACACTGGAGATGCAACATCATCTTCCATAATACATAACGTATGAAAAATTTATCATATGAATAATTTGTCATTCAGATTTCTTCAAAGGTGAATATGACTGATTACTACGCCTTTGCTGATGGTAGCTGTAGCGTTACTGAATATCATGAACGAGGCACATTTCTGGTAAGATGTCCACCATTTTAATACCCGAAAAATATAAGAAAGAGTTTGTCTGGAAGTTACACAAGTAAAAACGCACAAGTTGTCACAGGTCTGCAAACAAGTTGTTGCAAATCTGTTCAAGTACTTTTAATAGCTGACTGAAATTTTGAAACATTCAGAATTCTTCTTGTGTAGGATTTTGTCAACCGATGTAAGAAGAAACCGAACATAACAGAAAAGACTGCATTCCATTTCGCTTTGGAAATGATGAAAATTCTTGAATGTATTCACGACTGTGGCATTATTCATGGGGATATCAAGCCGGATAATTTTGTCCTGCTCGAGTAAGAAAATTTCAATTTCTTTGAATATGAAAATTTTAGTGTCTTATCAAATATAAAACGTTTTAATCATTCTTTGCTTTTGACGAATGCTACTGCACTTAATTCAACGAAACTTTCAAGTGACTCAGTTAATAATTTCTTTTATAGTTTAAAAATCTTGATTGACAGTGATGAGAACTTGTATCGACTTGGACTAATTGATTTTGGATGCGCCATTGACGTGGAGCTTTTCCCACCTGGGACACGGTTCAGTGTCGACAAAAATACTGAATCATTTGAATGCATTGAAATGAAAATGCAACGACCCTGGACAACTCAGGTACATTTTTATTTAGCCCCTGCCTCTTTTTACCCCCTTCCCCCTATACAACGACCCTGGACAATTCAGGTAGAACTTTATTTAGCCCCTCCCTCTTTTTAGCCCCCCCCCCCCTATACAACGACCCTGAACAACTCAGGTACATCTTTATTTATGTTGTCTTATGTTGTCTTTATTTTTTGAGGTGGATACTTATGGTATGTTGTGTAGTTTACACTGCCTGGTATTTGGTGAATACATGAAAGTTTATCAAGAAAAAACAACTGGTCGTTGGAGGCCTACAAAATCTTTTCTCCGGTTAGTTTTTGAGAAAAAAAACTTTAGCTAATTTCCACATGTAACTACGAATCAATTGAATACACATATTTCTTACCCTTAAACTATCACATATCCTTATAATCTTAGCCCTATTAATCTTCAGGGTTGGCAAAATAGTTTTTTATATAGATACTGGCTCTACGAATGGTAAATGTACCTTTCTCTTTATTCTAGAACTAAAACTAGTCCAAACATTTGCCATCGTAAATTGTCATTGATAAGCCCATTTTAGGGAATGTCAATTAATAAATTCAGTTCAATACTAGCTTATTAATAGGTCAGTGGATCGAAACCACTGAAATTGGAACATAACATAGCTCCTGTTCTCTATTTGCAGGACGTGGAACAGAACTTTATGGAACAAGCTGTTCGATATGTTTTTAAATATCCCAAGTTGTGATGTCTTGCCCTCGCTTTCTGCCATTCGCCAGGAATTTCAGAAATATGCTCAAGACGTTGAAGATGACGAAGTCGAGGAAAACCCAACTTGCGATTTAAGGAAAATATATATGAATGCCAATTGAAAGAATACTCGGTTGGAAAATATTATTTACATTCTGATAAGTCTGATATAATTGGGTGGTCAACTAACTTGAGAACTATTCTCGCTTATACCCAAGTTCAATTATATAGTTCTGTTTATTTAGTAAAAAAAATAGCAATTCAATTATATATTTTGGTTTATTTAGTTAATAGTACATGACCACAAATGTTAATAGTACATGAAAAATGGCATACTGAAATGAAATAAACCCACTTATTTTTTTGTTTGTGCATGCCTAGTGTATGGTGATATTTTTTTATTTCCTGCAATCTGATTGGCTGCAGGAGCGGGCAGCTTTTTACGACATCTTGACCGTCGTCCAAAAGAATTAAAAGTTTATTTTTTAAACCACAAAAACCGTGGTTTATATAGATAAAACCCAGTGAATATTTAATATTCAATTCATCCTCGTCACGAGGATGTATTCAAATCTATTCATCAAAACATGGTCTTTACCCAAATAAAACTACAGGGTGTTCCAAAAAAAAACGAAAACTATTGAAATCACCAATAACAATTTAATTGTTAGAATTTGAATGCCTTAGCGCTCTGTTGGTTCCTACGAGTGCATAAATGATTGACATCAGTAAATTTTATGTATAAAGAAACTGTTTAAGAAGCTGTTTTCGCGCCGCAAATTACAAGATGTTCTTAACTAAATTTTAATACATGCACCTTGTCAATATTTTACGCATCATTACGTCCAGCTGTTTGGTAGGGCATTCAAATTTAACAAGTGATTTCAATAGTTTTCGTTTTTTTTGGGACGCCCTACAAAGAACAATAGAATTCCGCACATATTTGAGCTAATGCGTTTTAAACTCTACATTTTTGTTAGCCTGCATGGCAGGCGGTTCCTAAAATTGGCATCCAGGCTACATTTTTGTGTGCAAGCATCTTAAATTCATTATATCGAGCCCCAATGCCCCAAATCCTGATTTTTTATGGAGTGTGTGCAGCTATTTTAATGTTGTCCCTGAGCAAAGCCGGAGAGCAAAGCGGAAAAGTCGAATGCGCACGTCACGTGACCCAAATATAAGTCTAATTTGCCGCTCTCTTTGAAGTTTGCCGGCTAGCCTAAAAATCGACCGGCAGGCTAACCTGAAGTGTGATTAGGGCCTGAACCTCTGGTTACCGGCAGGCATGCTGAAAAACCAGAGCTGAAACACCTGAAAAACTTTGTTTTGAGCTTGCTGGTTGACGCGAATAACCCCCGCCTCGCATCCGGTTTTATTTATATCGACCGAACTCGTGTGACATTTGTGGAAACGGCACGTGATACGGTTTTGACCAATTAGCAAACAGGAAAATTGAGCTTTGACTTGGCGTCGTGTGGAAGCACTGTTGACAGGCTCACTGTTTTGACAACTTCTCAATCATTTTGATTTTATTTGCTCATCTGCAAAAATTACACTTCCTTTTTCTTCTAAATCGCTTCAGCGCAACCGGAGAAAACTATTTCTGGTACTTAAGACTCCTTTTCTTCTAGTTTTCTCACGAACACCGCCTTTTTCGCCTTGCCTAAGGTATGTTTTATCCTCAAACAGCAATTTTTGTTTACATCGTACGTCAATATCATCGTCTTTGTTGAAATCCTTGTAGAATCGGCGAATTTGTGCGATTCACGTCTTCGGGCTGTATAATATCAACAGGAAACATCGAAATATTTGATCAAGGTATGTTGTAAACTTTGTACAGCACTTAAATTTCCTGAATTGCTCTTGAACTACGACTTTGCATTCGGTTTGACAGGATATAAACAATTTTTATGATAATTTGTATTAATATACAGTAACACACAAACTTTATACCGTAGTGGCATATCGTCCCTGCTATTTTAACAATAACACAACAGCATTTCTATGCGAACTCTATAAAAATGGACAATGTCTGATACACGAATATTTGCGATAAGATATTTCGCAAGATAGGGGGTATATGGGTCGCTGTTAAATACTTAAATACTATTGATTATATATTAAAGTCACAGAGAAATCCTATTTGAGAGATTAATCTGGTGAAGAGTAGGCCTCTGAAATTGAATATAAATGCTGTTGTAGAATTTGTAGCTAGGCATAATTTTACAGTGCAGTTTTAGACTTGAAATGCATTCCAGCATATTCCACTCAATTATTTGGGCAATTGAACATTTCCTGTAGACGTGTAAGATTCCTGAAATACATCAATTGCAAATGAAGGTGAGGCGTGCATAAATTAAACATTTGTTCATTATTTCAAACTTGATGTTTATTGGATGAAAGTTGACCTTTCTAGGGTTGAACTTTGTTGTCGCTAAGGTAAAACTTTACAATGATAATGCAAGATTGTTTATGTTGTACTATAAAATAAAATTCACAATGTTCAGTCTCTGTACTCTACATTAAATAAGTATATTGATACCATCTCACTCAGAAATACAGTATATGATGCATGTGCACAAATCCTGCCTGGCATGATCTACTACTGGTGGGGTGCAGGGGGGTTGCACCCCCAAGTGGTGTCCAGCACCAGAGGGCTTTACAGTCAACTCGGCCCACTAACCAACTCGGCCATTGACCGTTCAAGGACCAACTCCGCCCGCTTGTAAACTGACTAATCTAACCATTAAACAAGCTAGGAACCATGACTGTGTTCTATCTTTGCAAACTTTGAGAGAGATTTGAATGATCAGTAATTTAGTATCAAAACGGACAGATCGAGAATTTGAAACTTCGATAGATTCTTTAATTAAATTAAGTCAAATTGGATGTTCTCAAACTTTACTCATCTGTACGCCCAATGCAACTGCAAATGGCTGTATTGGTTTGGTGCTATCTTTTGTAAAATATTAGCTTTCCCAATATGTCAAACAGTAGTTAACAATTGGGCCAAGATGGTATGGGCCGAGTTGGTCAGTGGGCCGAGTTGACCAGCTTCCCACCAGAGGCTGTGGAAGCATTTCGAAAGTGAGAGACACTGACTAGAAAGGGCACTTGAGTCAGCAAACATTCTAAATATGTTAGATGTGTCCTATTACATTAGGTCTAGAGATTTGGTTCAACATACAGCCTCAGATGTTATACATATACTCTAATGGCTCTCCTATGCTGAACATGAACACATTAACCACAAATTTAACAAGAACACTTTTTATTAACAAAGGCTTAAAGGGGCATTTATAATTCCTCTTTAATTGCTGGAAAAAAGGGCACTTTTAATTAGGGATCCACCCAAAAAATATTTTAACCAATAACTGGGTTTTGAGCGAAGGCCCTTCATCGGAAAATCACTATTCTAGGGAAGTCACATACTGACAGAAGGCCTTGAAATCTCCAAGTTCTGCATGTATTTTTTAGGTAGTTGTATCTTGTTTGAGATAATAAGTTAGTTTAGGAACTCTTGGGGCATTTAGAGTCATTAATAGTTGATGAGAGTTGCTTGGAAGGACACATGTTCGGCCAAAACAAAATATGGTTGGACATTTATCAACTTTTCTCAGACAATAAACAAAGTAAAATGTTTCGTATCTTTTTGAGCACGACATACATAGGTCTCACTTCAGCTAATTAATTTTCTGAAGCGTTCTCTGATCGTAAAATTTCTTTAAACACAAGCTTTCGATTGCCAGTCTGCAGTCTTCGACAGATAAAGTGATACTAAATTATAGCTAACTTTACCTATCGAAGACTGGCAGTCGAAAGCTTGTGTTTAAAGAAATTTTACGATCAGAGAATGTTTCAGAAACTTTATTATAAATCCTGGTCGCGCATCTAGCAATTTTAGAGTATTAGGGATTTTTCAGTTGGCCATGTTCTTAGCAAGTGCCCTAATGTGAATTCAAATGTCTAATATAAAAAAATATTTTTTGACACATTTTTGCTAATGAAATGAAAGATTGATAAACAGCAGTTTCCACATCATTTCTTACTGTAGTAAGCTGTAACATATGACATGGTACAAGTTATAACCTAAACCATAATTTACTGATGCATTAGGACTGGTGGGTAATTATACTCAGTTGTAAATGCTTTATTGTAGTGTGGACTAATAAGTGGTCTTCGTAGAGTGGAACAGGTAAAACAGGTTTTTCAACAGGTATAAGCGTCAAGCCGCACCTAGAAACATCTAGGGGAACTGGAGTGTATACCCACAAAATCTGAAGTCTCTGAATTCGAAATGGCGGTAATCTGAGTGGTCATTGAAACAGTAAATTTTACCGGTTACCGCCTGATAAGGAGATACTTCGTCTGTGCTTTGAAGGTGAATTGAAGCTCTCATCCACGTTTGACTGGGTCCTTACTTTTCTTACGTTTCAGAAGCGAAAACATGAATCCAGTGCGCGTTTGGGGAAACGGCTGTTATGATGTGTTTCATTTTGGACACGCGAACTTCATACGACAGGCAAAGCTGATGGGTGATGTTATGATCGCAGGAGTACATGGCGATGCTGATATCATGCAGAATAAAGGCAAACCTGTCATGGATGAGGTGGAACGTGCTCGGATGATTTCTGCTGTTAGATGGGTTGATGAAATTGAAGAGAATATCCCTTATGGCAACGTACTCAAGACCCTCGATGACTACAACTGCGATTTCTGTGTGCACGGTGACGACATTGCCCGCGACGCCAACGGCAACGACATCTACCAAGAGTGCAAGGAGAAAAATCGTTTCCGAGAATGCAAGAGAACCGAGGGAATTTCCACGACTGAACTTATAGACCGAATTCTTCTAGGCACCGACATGAACTTCTTCGGACCCGAGTTTACAAGGAAGGGTAGCAAGATAAAATCCAGAATAATGCCCCAAGAATACTACGAGCAGAAAATTAAAGAGTTTACTCCTCCGAATTTGTTTCCAAAGGAAGGTGATACAATTCTCTATACACAAGGAGTATTTGATCTGATGCATTCAGGTCATGTCGATTACTTGGAGAAATGTAAGAAATCCGGAAAAAATGGCTTCCTTATTGTTGGCATTCTCGGTGATGAAGAAGTGAATCGTATTTATGGAACCTATCCAATCACAAATGCTTACGAGAGGGCACTGGCTCTCCTCTCCTGTCGTTATGTTGACCAAGTTATCATTGGAGTATCGTTTTATGTCACTGAAGAAATTATTACAAAACACAAGGTAATTATAGGGACAATTAGATTACGCCGTGGACTTTGGGCTAAGAGGCTCCCAAGGCGAAAGCAAGAGTTTGTATGTCCGAGACAACACGGACGGCTTGTGAAATGCCTTGATGAGAACATTCGTATTCTTCAACGATTTAAAATAAATTGATTAACTCAAAATTTATGTAAATCATCATGATTTTGTATCAGATATACAAACTCCTTCACGCTCATGATTTCTTTCGTGTTTTCTTCATGAATTATTGAGTTTCACAATGAGTTTAAGAGGTACAAGAGAAACATTGATAAAGTATAATTTTGTATTTAAGGTGGATTATGTTTGTCATGGAAAGGTTTGGGACTGTCCTGATGATCCATACGCAGTACCGAAAGAGAGAAATATTTACCGCGTAGTGGACAGTGGCAGTGATATGACCACGGAGATGATCATCGAGAGAATTGTTAGTCATGCGTAAGTATAACATAGTGTATATACACATATATATAGTATATACACACTCTTCGCCTTTCTTAAGTCTGGTTTACACGATCAAAGTTTCTGTGATCACAGTAGGAATTTTGCAAAGGTAAATTCTAAGTTTTGAAGGATTTGTAAGAAATGTTTGAGGGAACTTACTGAGTGTTATAAAGGATGGTTTACACTATCAAGGTTTCTGTGATCACAGTAGGAATTTTGCTTAGATAAATTCTAAGTTTTGAAGGATTTGTGAGAAATGTTTGAGGGAACTTACTGAGTGTTATAAAGGATGGTTTACACTATCAAAGTCTCTGTGATCACAGTAGGAATTTTGCATAGATAAATTCTAAGTTTTGAAGGATTTGTAAGAAATGTTTGAGGGAACTTACTGAGTGTTATAAAGGATGGTTTACACTATCAAAGTTTCAGTGATCACAGTAGGAATTTTGCATAGATAAATTCTAAGTTTTGAAGGATTTGTAAGAAATGTTTGAGGGAACTTACTGAGTGTTATAAAGGATGGTTTACACTATCAAAGTTTCTGTGATCACAGTAGGAATTTTGCATAGGTCAATTCTAAGTTTTGAAGGATTTGTAAGAAATGTTTGAGGAAACTTACTGAGTGTTATAAAGGATGGTTTACACTATCAAAGTTTCTGTGATCACAGTAGGAATTTTGCATAGGTAAATTCTAAGTTTTGAAGGATTTGTAAGAAATGTTTGAGGGAACTTACTGAGTGTTATAAAGGATGGTTTACACTATTAAAGTTTCTGTGATCACAGTAGGAATTTTGCATGGGTAAATTCTAAGTTTTGAAGGATTTGTAAGAAATGTTTGAGGGAACTTACTGAGTGTTATAAAGGATGGTTTACACTATCAAAGTCTCTGTGATCACAGTAGGAATTTTGCATTGGTAAATTCTAAGTTTTGAAGGATTTGTAAGAAATGTTTGAGGGAACTTACTGAGTGTTATAAAGGATGGTTTACACTATATCAAAGTTTCTGTGATCACAGTAGGAATTTTGCATGGGTAAATTCTAAGTTTTGAAGGATTTGTAAGAAATGTTTGAGGGAACTTACTGAGTGTTATAAAGGATGGTTTACACTATCAAAGTCTCTGTGATCACAGTAGAAATTTTGCATGGGTAAATTCTAAGTTTTGAAGGATTTGTAAGAAATGTTTGAGGGATCTGACTCAGACCCCGTTTACATGGTACCGGACGAATTTGGGACCGGTCTGAAGTGCGTCCTTTTTCGCCTGTTTACACGCGAATTCGTCTTGTTAGGGGGTCTCAAATTCGTCCAGTCTGTGGTTCTCGTGTGTTTACACGGCCGAATTTCTGACCGGTTCCAAATTCGTCCGGTACCGTGTGAACGGGGTCTCAGTGTTTAACATTCAGCTCCCTCTTACGTATGCCCTGATTACCGTGTACTGAAAGCCCCGTTTACTGCAATTTTAGGTGCGATTTTCGGCAATCGTTCCATGTTTCGTGCACCAATATAGTAAACGTTATGTAATGCATATTATAGTGCACTGCCTGCAAAGTCAACTGGATACCTCCATATACATGTATACACATCCTAACGCTAACGCTAACCCTAACCCTAACCCCTAACCTATATTGGTGCGCGAAACATGGAGCGATAACCCAATTTTCTTCTGACGGATGTGAACGAGTGGATGAGTTATGATGGGGGTTGGGCCTGCACGCGGGCTAGAACATTCATGATTCGTCTACTCGTTCACATCCATCAGAAGACGAATATCGCACTAGACATCGCAGCAAAATTTGCAAGTGTAAACAGACCTTTAAGAATGAATGTTTCCATATATTGCAGGGGTATGTACTACGTTCGAAATACGAAGAAATCAGAAAGTCTCTTCTCCGGACAAACACCGAGTATTGCACCGCAGGAATCTGTAAATTAATAAACATTCTCACATTTTAGACTGAGCAAACGAACATGAGAAAATTACATGAGAATTTATTTACTGTCATGCATGATTCGCTCAAACAATAGTTCAGAGTTTCGACAACACATTCAAATGAGAAGCTTTACGTCGGGATAACGGCCTTCTTTATATATGATCCCGCGGGACGGACGATACCGTAAAATGGCTGTAATTCAACTGCAACGCTACCTTCAGGTAAACTGGCTATCTTCAAGTCTTTGGACTGGGGGTCAAGACACGCGCGTGTTTAGTCATGATTGACCGCCCTGGATTGACTGTTTGAGCGCTCTACTTCCGTTTAATTGGAGGTCCTACTGTAAACGATATTACAGTCAAACACATGTCAAATAACGCATTTCTTTTTAAATAAAGTCCATTTTACCGTAATTTACAATTGCAGTGTACTTACTGTAAAAGATTACGACACATATCAAATAACAGATTTCGTCTTAAATGCAGTCCATTAAGGCATTATACTGTGACTGTAATATACGATTACAGTATACTTACTGTAAAATGTAACAGTATATTATTCGGTAAAAACCCAGATATTTTTAACAGTGAAGATTACAAAAAAAAGAAAACCGAACTTTTCCCACCAAATTTTTTGCAACAAGAAATTCGAAATCCAGGTATATTTATTATTTTTGGCTTTATTAAAAATGATCTTGTATAAAGTGTAAATCCTCATGAAATCTCATGCGATTTTCGCGAGAAACGAGTTAAAATCCTTCGATCAAACGCAAGAAGGTTTTGTTACATTTCTCAATCTCGTTTGGCCAGAGGCTGAGCTTAAGTTAAAAATGTATGTACGTAAATTAGTATAGTGTCGTAGTTAGCCAATGATCAATATTTGCACATATACCATGCACAAGTCATTAAATTATTTCCCTTATTTAAAAGTTGTTGGAACAGCATTGCTACAAGTCTGCTGCAGGTTTGTTACAACTTGTGTGTTTTTACGTAGTATTATCAGGGCGCTATAAAACACGGGCGTGGAAACGCGCTTATTATCGCGTGCAGGGTGGATCCAGCATGATCTTGTAGGGGGGGGGGTGCTCTGATGCCAGTTGTTCAGAGTTCACTTATCATCATGTTATTACTCAAATTACTGTATCTCATTTTGTCATTTTTGCTTTATCATGAAAAATAGCACCCCATTGCACCCCTGGCCAGGGGCTGGGGGGCCCCCCCCCCCCAGTAAATCCATCCCTGATCGCGTGATCTGTGAGTGATGCACCAGAGAACTGGCACTAGCTCGCGTTTTGAGAGAAAAGCAAAAAGAAAAGCGAAATCATGGCGGAAAAAAGATTGGATTGTTGTGCGACTTTGTCCATATGATGCATGATTAGACCTTTTTTAATGTGAGATTTCTTTTATTAATTTTTAAAACTATCTTATGCTATTAAGAAACTTTTTATGAAAGAAGCATCCAACGTATTTGAGAAAATAATTTAGTTTTTCAATTATTTTAATGTGAGGGGCATCAAATTTTATTACTTTACGCACGACAACAGAGATTAAAATCAATGCTGTCTGAACACTAGGTAGGCCTAGATAAATTTGATAGCTTAAAAATGTGTGGAATTTCTCTGGCTTTAGTACACAATATATACCAAGACCGGCGTTTACCGGCTTTTTTTGCTATGCTTAAATTTTGGCATTAACATAATTTTCTCGACAGCGCGTGAGAGCTAAAACATACTACAGTACTACCCACACTGGTACAGACAGTTTTAGTATGATTTATAGAAAAATGTTGGTAATATAAATAAATTATGCTGACAGGGTTAAAAATTCTTAAAACAATTATGTTCACCTAAAGTTTTTAAGAATTTAATTTACTGAAAAATTGTGTTGCAATGTTGACATTGACTTTTAGTTTGACCGTGATTTGTAGGCTTTTTACCAATGTGAAAATACTGTGCCGAGTGGTTATATTACTACCTTGAAAATAAGCAGAAACTCGACGTTTCGAGCGAAGGCCCTTTGGTCAAGAGTTAGTATAAATCCAATTAGAAGTGTCTTTTCATTTAAATACATTGCATTAAAGTTCTCTTTTACTTTTTTCTTACGTGAAACGACTATGTTCGCCATTAATTTATTTTGCAGGAAGCGCGGGAAAAAATGTTTCGACTTGTACCTAGCCCTAGGTGAAAAACTTTGCCTGAAATTTTGCACAGTTATTAATAAAGTTATGGAAAATCGATTCTGATTAAAAAGAAAACCGGCTTTTTTGTTAAAACATGATTTTTTACCTGGTTTTGACCTGGTCTCACATGAAACGACCTCGGAAACGACAAAGGCACTGTCAGCGATTTTTACTCATGAAACACGAAGCGCGGAAAAAAATGTTTCGACTTCTATCTTTTTCAGTTCTCTAGACGACGTTAAAAGATAGTCCCAAGCTATAGACTCGCAGGAAAACCGTATCTTTCGAAAAAATATCGGTTTCAACCACTTTATGTCTTTAAAAGTGCACTGACCTTTTCAGGCTGTTCCAGACAAACCACATTTTCTTTACAATTTTCCCTCTTGACTGTAGCATAAACTTTAAGTACATAAACCTCTCATTGGCCACATAGTTCATCCCAGAGGTAAATTGTTTTGGTGTTCATTTGCAAATGAGTTTCAACTAGCCCATGTTTCTTATTTTATACTCTTGCCGTGTCTTTCTTTTCAAATGTTGATATTCGAATGAGAATTTCCAATATTCGAAAACCTATGGGGGGGGGGGGGGCCCGCGCATCACACATAGATCAGGGGCATCGTTGCCGTTTCCGCTCCTAGTGAACTCTCTCTCTCTCTATATATATATAGAGTTCACTGTTCCGCGCCCGTGTTTTATAGCTCTGCATTCTCCGCAAGGCTCCGCACATTCCTAACAATACAACCATATTAATCACAGAATTTTTTTTACAAACTGTCAATAAACATCTGGTAACATGATAAGAAAACAATAGAGGCTATCCAGGTCAATATTAGACAATGACGTGACATCAACGTTGCCAATTTTACACTGGGCAAAATGATTAAATGAAGGATGATTTTGAATCTATATGGTTAGACTAACATCACAGGAAAATAATTATTTTAAAATAATGGGTTTTGAATGGTTTTTGAAGATTTACCATGTTCAAAACCCAACTCTTATCTTATTGGTTAATATTATGATAAATATCCTCGCAATTTTGATATATCCTCGTAGCCCTAGGCAAAATATTGCCGTCGATATTTCCAAGTTCGGCGGCAATTTTTTGTTGTAATTTAATGTATTATAGAGATTAGCACTGAATTGTTTTTACAGTATTTTGACTCTACTGATGATAAATGTTTGATATTCAAGAAAACCTCGTTTCATTTTCACATACATTGAGACCAGCGATCATCAGATAATCATCATTATAATCATCTGTTCATACTTAGAAGAATTAATCGAATTGAGTAGGCAGTGACCACAAAAATTCGTCAAAAATTGCAAGGACTGAAAATTTCCCAAATGCCCAAAATGGTAAATCAAAATGTGTTACCCATTAAGTGGCAGTAGTGTCTGATTGACAAGCAAAATCATCTGGCATTAGACAGAGCAAAAATAATAAGGTAGGGTGCATTCACTGGGCGCATTGTGATGCAGTAAAGGGTCAATTATAATAATTACTACTGATGGTATTTTGAAATTTGTTCCTGCGTGTTGCCTGGTTTCAACAGGGCTTTATACAGTTTTAGTTATCAACGTGACTGCATTTGAGTCATGAGCTGTTCATCTTGAGCTGACATGGCAGTTAATTTCTTTCCAATTCTCTCATGAATTTCTAAATATTTTGCAACACATCGATCCAAACAAACTGATTCTCCTTTTGTGAGTTCGCCTTCTTTGTACTTGGGTGAAATACATTTCTTCTGACAGGCAGATGTCAACCTGCGGAAAAACAAGGCTGAACATAGTCCTTGATGAGTAAGTGGGGGGTTGCTGATTCTTACTTGCAGTTGAGCTGAGCTGGATTCTAGACACAACTCAACCTGATTGAGTCTATAGGGCTTACTAAAGGGCTTGGCTAGGCTTGCCCAGTTCACGCCTATTTTATGACTGAAATGAACTTATCGTGGGTTTGTCTTCGTCCCAGTCTCATGTAAAGGCAAACCTGAAAAAAATTATTTTGCTCGGAAGGACAAATGTCCGGCCAAAACAAAATGTAGTCGAACATTTATCAGCTTCTCTCGGACAATGGACAAAGAAAAATGTTTCGTATCTTTTTGAGCACCGATGTATTTTGGTTGGTCATGTTAGTCAAATTTTTTTTATATTGGACATTTGACCAGCTTACTGATCAAATGACCCTACTGATCAGATGACCCTACTGATCAGAGATGAAATAAAAAATCCAGGGGGTATCAGGTAGGACCTAATTCTTCTTCTAAAGTACAACGGTGGTAGATAACGTTTCCATATTATATCATTTCATGTGAAAATATACCATATAAAACTTACTTATTAAATAGATCAGTCATCATTTCTATTTCCAAGTCCGCCATTATTTGCATGTTTTGAGCAGATTTTGCATCCATTTTCAAATCTCGAGAAAATGATTCAAAATCTAATCGTGTAGAATTTCACAGACGGGCAGTGGAAGTCAAGTTGATGCAAAGTTGAAGCTAAAATTAAACACTTTTGATCTTATCCTGATCTTGAATCCTGATCTTCTCTTTCAGCCCTTTTGGCGTATCCAAATTTGTTTCCGATATTTGAGCGAGTGTTTCCGAGTTGCGCACGATGCTTGGCGACTCACATGACGTTGTCGAAGCAAAATTGAGATGAAATATCATTCAAGGGGGAAAAAATAAACGTTTTTATAAGTTTATTACACAGTTTTGAGAATAAAATGCCGTGAATATTATTGAATATCAAAGATGGGTCTAAGGGAGTCCAAGATTAGCTTTTTCCCGTACGAAGAAGTACAACGACGAGGTATAAAAAAGTACACTATATGTTGACCAACATGCATGTATGAATCCAAACAATTTGTTTTGTGTTCATTGCTTGTTTTGAAAGGATTATACTCGTTTGTATTTTAGTCAATGAAGATGAACTCAAGAGGCTACGCTTGGCATTCAAACGGATTGCAGGTGCAAGTGGTGTAATGGCAAAATCGTCGTTTTTTCGTGAGGTTTTGGGTGAAAGTGTTCCACCAAAGTTAGCAGAGGTATAAACTATTATAAAGATCAATTAACTTTATCGTACTTATTATTTATGAATTTTGTGGCTGACGAATGCTCGTAGCCAATATATATTAACTATATATTTTGCCCACAAGATTTTAAATGTTCAAAAATTATGTACACATTGTATTGCTGAATTGAATATTTTCACAACACTCAATTATAATAATACAATGCATTTGTCATTTTATATAAAGACTATTGAATTACAATTAGTATATACTCCCTACATGCTCAACCTGTTTATGTAGACCGCATACAAAGCTTCGCAGAAAATTTATTGTTTGTTACTGCAAGCGTACAGAGAAATTGCCCGACGACAAGTCTACATACATACTGCACAGATGTCATCATTTTTTAAATGCCATTCAAATTTTTAGTGTCGGGATGAGGGTCAGGATAAGATCACGATAAACCAATAGTATATTCACAGTATATCCATAATATATCCATATGTAGTACAGTATATCCATAATATATCCATATGTAGCACAGTATACCCATAATATATCCATATGTAGTACAGTATATCCATAGTATATCCATAGTATACCCATAGTGTCGAAATTATTGCAATAGCCGGTTCCCCTTATTACGTATTCTGAATACAACTACCATGATACTTTGCAGGTATTTTCTTCATTATGCAATAACACGTCCGAAAAGCATGCTGGTAGTTGTATTCAGAATACGCAATAAGGGGAACCGGCTATTAATACGAAAATTGGATTTGCATACTAATTTCAACTAAGAGCTATGTATTTCCATAGGCATAGTGAGGATTTTGAAAGAAAATTCTAGTGTAGCTACATATGTGATATAATCCTTAATTAAAATGAAATTTTTCATTCCAGCAAATGTTTATTGCTTTTGGAGGAGGCAGCAAAGGCATTTACTTCAAAGACCTGCTATGCGGCCTTGCGTTGCTCACACGTGGATCGTTAATGGACAAACTGAGATGTAAGATACAAACTGAGATATAAAGTTTTATTATACATTTTATTTGCAGACACATGCCTGTAGATTCTATTTTGCAGCGATTATAGAATATTTGCATCCATTTGTCCATATAGCTGTCTTGTTATCATGATATTGTTGCTAAATCAAATGTTTTTTCCTTTTGAGGCATATTTCATACTTACTGACTTATCATATGTAGAGGTCAAAATTACTCAAATATGATTGGCTAATGATGACATTGGCATTTTTTGAATGACTGACTGATTGGCTGAGATGCGAGCACGGGAATGATTTACATATATGTAGAAGAACTTGTGGTTAGAGCTCGACAACTGATCTCAGTTGGTTAGAGCTCTGCAACTGGTCTCTGTAGCTCCAAGGCCGGCGAGAGGGGGGGGGCAGAGGGGGCAAAATACCCGGGGCCCAGAGTGCTCAGAGGGTCCCGGAAATCGTCATGATCGATCGTAAAACATACCAAATGTGAAATAAACGATTTTTTGATCGTTTTCTCAGCAAAAACAGTTAGCTGAACATTGTTCACATTGCGTTTTTATCAGTTATGCAGCGATTTCTTGCAAGTAATTCGCTGGTAATTCTCTCGTTGATTGCGATTAAACATAGACTTTGGCGTGGCCATGCGCCAGCGGGAATGTCGAGGGACAGGGGGCCCGTGTTCACCAATTCGTTATTTTGTTCCGGGGCCCATGGTTGGCTCTCGCCGGCCTTGTGTAGCTCAGTTGGTTAGAACTCGACAACTGGTCTGTGTAGCTCAGTTGGTTAGAGCTCAACAACTGGTCTGTGTAGCTCAGTTGGTTAGAGCTCAACAACTGGTCTGTGTAGCTCAGTTGGTTAGAGCTCAACAACTGGTCTGTGTAGCTCAGTTGGTTAGAGCTCAACAACTGGTCTGTGTAGCTCAGTTGGTTAGAGCTCAACAACTGGTCTGTGTAGCTCAGTTGGTTAGAGCTCAACAACTGGTCTGTGTAGCTCAGTTGGTTAGAGCTCAACAACTGGTCTGTGTAGCTCAGTTGGTTAGAACTCGACAACTGGTCTGTGTAGCTCAGTTGGTTAGAACTCGACAACTGGTCTGTGTAGCTCAGTTGGTTAGAGCTCAACAACTGGTCTGTGTAGCTCAGTTGGTTAGAGCTCAACAACTGGTCTGTGTAGCTCAGTTGGTTAGAGCGCTGCACCGGAATCACAGGTTCGATTCTTGCCAGAGGGCATGTAGGGGCATGCTGGTACATAAGTACCTGAATTATTGCACACTCATTTCTGCTTGTATTTTTTAGTTATATTTGAGATTTATTCAAGTGATGGTAATCATGTACTGCAAGATGATATGGAAAGCCTTCTCCTTGCATCCGAAGGGGGCAAGGTGCCCGAATCAATCAGGCAGCTCTTTGCTTTGGTAAGTGTGACTGAGATAATTAACAATTATTCACCCAAGTGAGTAGTACAAGGATATTGATCGAAACACAAAGTGTGGAGGTAAATATCCTTGGCTTCCTTGCATTACTCACTGAAGCGGATAATTGTTTTAGCATATAACAAAACAACAATGACCAAAAAACAACAAAAATATTTTTTTTAATTTGTATTTCAGCTCCAGTGATATATAGTTGCATAGACAAAACAGTATTTATTTAAAACTTTTAGTATTTTTATTCGTTGGAAATTGCTTTAAAGAATACCTCTATACACACTGTTAATTAAACAAAACTTAGTGACTTTCTTCGTGTTTAGTGAAACTGCAGTTTGTTTTTGTCTGGAAGTGGGTAGTGCGAGGATATCCATAGCCAAGCAACCAATCAAATTGCACGAAAAGCACTGTCCACAAATATGTTGTATATATTTAGTGAAATAAATTCTCGAACCGTACTAATATTTCTTATAATTTTAATAATATTATATTTCTTACCGTACTTCCTATGCTAATCCATTGTGTTTGATCATTTGGTAGAGTGATAAAGTCACTTCACAAGATTTTTGTGATTGGCTAAGACGACATCCTGACTCTATCACCCTGTCAAAATGGTTGGTAAAACAAGGCAATGGCTTACAGTTGACTGATTATGGAGAGACGCCCACATTTTATCAAACGCTTGCAAAATTTACTGGTTGTAAGTATCTTTGGAATATCAGTACGTCTACACTAAAGATTGCCAGAGTTAAACCAGTTTTTCACTAGGAAAATTTGTCCATGCTGAGTGATTAGATTGTGGCATAATCGGTCAATCAGTATTCATTGTTTTCACTACAGTACAAGAATTAGACATCATTGAGCTGGAGAAGAGATATTGGTATTTAAAGTCTGGAACAAAAACAGGAAAGTTTGATTTGGAAACCTTCATGCCGCTCGTATCATCCTGTGTCTCTGATTCGCTTGCCAAAGGTATGTAACTGGTTATTCATGGAAACCTTTTGCATCCACATATACTCTCTTTTACTAATACTCAAAGTAACGTTCAAAGCTATAGCCAAGGAAATATTTTTAATGACAAATAGCAGATTATTTTTGAAAACTGTCAACTTGACAATTGTACACTGTAATCTCTCCAATCTGCATACCCTCTGGTTAAAATTTCCCTGTGGTTAGTATAGGCAATAGTTTGCTATCAAGTGCAATTTGGAAAAAACTTGCATGATAGAGTTTTTCAAAATCGCACAAATCTGATGTATTGAGATGGACCGGGGTTCTAAAAACAACTAAAACTTCATGAATTGGTATTTATGTTTTTGTTTAGCATTATTCAATGCCTTTGATGAGAATCAGGATGGCCATATTGACTTTCGTGAGATTGCTTGTGGAATATCCACTTGTTGTCGGGGACCAGTTGCTGAAAGATTTGCATGTAAGTCAATTATCTCACCTGATAGAAGTAGCAAGTGGCAAAGTATTGAGGGTGCATGTGAATTTGGGTTGCCATCATATTGCTATACCTTTTTGTTGCTGCGAATGGAAACTAGTGTGTTCTAATTTTTGCAAATTTGCTTAATTTTATGACCTACCAACAGCGTTGTGACATATCTGGCTGTGAGCAGCTACGAAAAATCCTACTAGAATTTTATATGTTATATTTAATATTTTTTATACTGTATATTTATTTTTTTCTGTATATTTAACTATTAATATTGAATTATTGATTTAGTTACATTCAAGATATTTGACGTGGACCGAGATGGACGGCTTTCTGAAGACGAAATAAGAACAATGATAAAAACTATGATTGAACTGAAGTCCGAAAACATTCCTCATTCACCAATGGTAATTTATTTTAATAATACCAACCTTGCAAGCCAAGCTCACAACTCGATTATCATCTTGTGATGGATGTGAATGAGTAGATAAGTTATGATTGTTCTGAGTACATTTGAGTACATGTACCCTCAACCATTGAACTATAAATAAACTGGAAGGCTAACTGCTATGATGAAGGCCTATGATTTGATGAAGCCAAAATACTTTTTCTGAGTTATAAGCAGAAATACTTGATCCCAAACGTCGGGCTATATATCAAATTGAAGCTATTGAAAATTGTTATTCGCTGTGGAAATTTCAAGACTTCAGCGAAAAGAAAAATATTTAAAAAATACAAAAACAACTGCAAAACGGCAAATTATCGGTCATTATGTTTGTAATTTTTAAATATTTCCCTTTTAGCTAAAGTCTTGAAATTTCTACACCAAATAGCGTTTTTCAATAGCTTCAATTTGATATGTAGCCCAACGTTCAGTGTTGAGTATTTCTGCTCATAACTCAGAAAAACTAAAATACACTGGCTTCAATTCCCCCCCCTGAGTTAGCCTTCCAGTTTATTTATAGTTCAATGCCCTCATCTAAACATTCCTAACTCATCCACTTGTTCCCATACAACAGGAGGAGAAAATCACTGCAAAAATTGCAAGTGTAAACAGGCATTTAACTTTTGCTTTGATCGCATTTTTAGGGTAAAAAAGAAGTTGAAATTGATCCTGAAATCTTGGTCACAGATGTTTTAAGTGATTATGATTCAGATAAGGTAATGTTTGCCCAGTCTTTACATACTGTAGCAGCTTGATCTTTCAAAAATCCATATTTTCCATACTATAAAAATTGCATCACTAAATCATATCCATACTTTTTTCCATATTGTGAAAATTGGATTTCCATTCTATATCCAACGAACATCCATACTAGTTTCATAGTAAAGATTTGGAAAAAATTTCCAGTGTTGCCAATTGGTGACTTCAGTTGTGAGGCCTGATTTAGTGTACCTCTCAAAATCACTTTGTTTTTGCTTTACTCTTGATTGCCTCTTTATGCTGATCATTTCAGGATGGTTTTGTGACACTGGATGAATACAAGAAGTGGGCAACGTCACAGTCACTCTCCCGTCTTGTCTTGGATATCTTATTTCAGGTTTTCTTCTGTGTAACTGTGTTTTATAAATTAATCATTTTAATTCCATTGTACTCCTACAACACAATGATTCTGCATCCTCGACAAGCATGGAAATAATTGCAGCCTTTCTTTGATCCTATGCCAAGGGGCAAAGAATTTCTTTGAAAACATGGTCAGGTGGTCAAATCACATTTAACAAGACTTAAACATTCCAGAACCATCCTCAGAGATATGAAAAACCAGTTTCATAATATTATTCTAAACATTCACTCATGCAGCTGTTAAATATCAGCTGTGCTTAACTATTAACAAAATCCATCGAATTGATTAATGATTAATTAAACCGGATAATCTTAATTGTTAGAGCGTCTGTCAGGTTATCAGAAGGTTATGTGCTTCGATTCCTGTCAGGTCAAATTGTAGCTATATTGCACATTGTGAATTCGAACCCTGTCCTTCATGTTGATAAATTTATTTTAGATATGTCATGTTGTATTTGGATTAAGACCGGCAACACGAAAGGACGAATATCAAGTGATTTGGTAAGGTTGTATCTCTTAAATCTCTTTTTGCGGCTATCGCGAGTAAATGTCGTATTTGTTCTGCATTGTTGTTGCCTTTTGGCTACGTTACGTAAGGAAAGCGATGGTGGAGTAATAAAGCGACCTAATATACAATTTCTCTGTGATTACATAACATCGCTCTTTATAAAAAAGTTTGTTGCAAATTGTAGTCAAATATCCACGCCCTTGAATTTGTTTGAACTATATTTTTCCAGGGGTTGGTTGGATCGGGAGAATTTCCGAGGCTTGCAGCCAGGTACCACTTGGTTTCTCGTCGCCATGGAATGGTGGAAGAAATGGAAGGAATTCATTGGACGGCAAAAATCGGTAAAACTTCCCTTTGTAACATGAAGATTTCACGAATAAATAAGAGCTTTTCTGTGTCGTGCGATGAAAATCAGATTGACGTTATGGAGGTCAACTGCTAGCTCTACAAACAAATAGTACGGAGTACGCAATCGTCTTCCTTAAAATTTTCGGTTGCGATTTTTTTGTAAATCTGTCATCGTTCATAAAGGCCCAATACAGACTGAACGCGATTGGACAACGCGACGCGAATTTTCAGTTTTTAAAAACAAATAAAACCGTCGACGGATATAGATTTTACAAGATATGCAGAATAGCTGCCAGTTGTCGAGCTTTAACCATGCTGTTTAGGTCATGGGTAAATATCGAGATTTTGTTGAAATTAGAGTGTTTTTAGAGCGTAGCATTTTAATCAACGATCATTTTGGTATCTAGACTGTTGCTCGAAGTTTATCGACAAGTGCATTGGAAAAGAATGGGGTAAGTCCGCTGTCCAGTACACTGTCGTCATCTGCAAGTCAAGCATGGGATAGAATGGAAAGTTCTCAACGTAAAGTGATGGTCGGTAGGAGATTATCTCAACCACAGCGTTCCGTTGCACCATTGGTTGATGTAAACGGAATCAATATTTCCAAACCTGGTACCATAGATAATTCATGTCTCGTTGAACAAGATGTTCGCAAGGTATGTAGAAGAAAATTCTCATGACAGTAAAAACCCGCGCAAAAGAAGCACTGTTTTTCTAGTTTTTCTAAAACAGTACAGTCTATATCAAGATCAATATGATGGTCTGAAAACTACACAGAAGTCATTATCAGTTATACCATGATTCGGAGGTGAACCGCAATAAACGCTAAGACGTTCAAAGCTAACTTTCATTAACTGTTTCGACTGTTTCATTGGTCGGAACTCCACTCAAAGTTTTAAAATAGTTGAGAAAAAAGGGCTACTTTGCACTGACATCAGTAAATGGTTAGACTTTTGCTCGGATCCCCTATATCAATTGGGCGACAACCTGAACTCCACGCTCAACAATGAGCGAGAAACTCAATGTAATCATATTATATAATTTTAAAATTTGACTTTTATAATTGGACAGATTCAATCGCTGACTGCCGACGGCGGCAAATTGAAGTGTTCCGTACCGTTGGTTCGAGGAAGAGATTTTGAAATTGTTCCTGAATCTGTATGGAAGGCACTGGTTCAGTGGTATACGGGCTCACCAGCCTTACCAAGAAACGTGAGTTCAATGAATGAAAATTTGAGCTGAAGCAAAAAGTTTTATTAACCATATTACCAAAACCATGGATGCTTCCTTTCGCCCGAAAAAAACGTCTCATGTCAAATGTAACCCTGAATGTTTTGACGCGAAAATATGACGCGCATAGACGTTGTAAACGTAGTTTATAATGATTCGCATGCACGATGCATAATTTTTCTAATATTTTAGGTAATTATTGCAACCGATGGCGATCCTAGTCCTATTTTGGAACTCTTCCCCAGGCTTCTATTGCTCTATCGTCACGCTCAACCTCCGGCTAAGAATAGCTTCACCTCGTGGTCTGGCATGGGATTTGGTTTGAATGGCTTAAATTTTGGCCAATCGTCTGGTGGGTCTGTTGCGCAGATGATCACACCGAAACGACAACTTAGCTACACGGCTGTGTTCAGTAGAATGAATACTTTGCAACAGGTAAAATATCTAATTTGGCCATCTAGAACTGAACCTTTTTGCTGGAATTCGAATCGAAGATGTTTATCTGAGATAATTTCAACCGTGACTGTTTTTCTGATGATAATGTAGTCGCTTCATTAGCGAAATATGCAATAAACTCTCATTCAGCGACTTCGCTAAAACCGGGCGCCATGTTTAAAATTATGAGCGGGAAAACACCAGCCAATCATACGCTGAGATGATAATTCACCACTTGTGAGAACATTCGTCCGACCAATCGAAATGCTGAGACGATAAATTTCACATATCGTCCGCCATGAGTTTATGTCACTCATCTATCTACTGCACGGAAATCTCTAAAGTTACAATAACGTCATTTACCCAATAGACGCCCAGAGTCGAAATGAAATGGACAAGATGTCTGATTAAATTTGAAAATTTCCGATCAAATTTCATTTCGCTCATTTCTTTTTCCGGCTCTACATCGTTATTCGAAGCTCTGCAAACCTGTAAGAAACTTCAATAGATACTTACCCTGTTGCAG